ATATATAAGGCTATAGCAAAATGCAGTGCTAACTGAGGGTACAGAAAAAAGCCGCACTTAAATCTGTTAGTAAAAAATTTCTAGAAAAAAAAAATCAATTCGAAAGGAACATTTGGCTTCCCAAATTCCACTAATTCCATCTGAGTTAAAAAACACACATAATAAATAATGCAATAAGTCCACAAAAGCTTCACAAATGGGCTTTTCATACACTTTTGAAGAAAGAAAATCAAACTAGGCATAACTTTAAAAAAAATCACACACACAACTAAATCATCTATATAATACCCATTCAGGTAGTTTAATGAAACACAACATAAAAAGATACGTAACTTAAGGCTGCTGTTATCTTTCTATTTTCATACTTATATGAGCTAATACAGGTTGAGTCCCCTTTATTTAAATGCCTGGGACAAGAAGTGTTTTGGATTTTGGAATACCTGTGTAATTTGCATATATGTACAAAGTGAGATTTCTTGGAGATGAGACCCAAGTCTAAGCACAATACTCATTGGTGCTTCATACACACCATATACACATAGCCTGAAGGTAATTTTATACAAATTTTTAAATAATTTTGTGCATGAAACAAAGTTTGGGTACACTGAATCACCAGAAAGCAAAGGAGTTACTAACTCTGCCATCCATAAAAATGGTTTTGGTTTTTGGAATTCTGGATAAGTGAGATTCAACCTGTATTTTTAAATTTTATGGTGGAAACAAGAACAAATATAACCACAATCTGATGTCTACTTTAAATGTAAATAAGATATAAATAAGAACAGTTTAGGATGGGAGGAGTCTATGTAGAGTTTAGCCAGCTGTAATAAATGCCATGGCAGACACTGTTATTAGTTGTTATGGAGTTTGTCTCTACTCAGTGGGGAAATTAATTAATGTAGCTGAACAACCAAGTTTACACACACGTAACTACTATAAAGAAAAATCATTGGGGCACTTTCCAATTATACGTTCATGGAAATGTAAGATTTGTAGGTGGAATGCCACATCCACAAACAGATGCGTTCCTTAGCTTTCACTTACAGTACCTCTACACTCTCTTTGCCCCTAGAAGTTCACTAGGTCTGCATTAGAAATCCTTAACACTGTTAAGACAACAGATATCTTAGAGGAAAACATCAAGATTTTAATACAAAATGCCGTATTAATGTGACATACATATAAATTAGCAGAGGAAAATACTGTTGGGAAAGGCTCTTAACAATATATCCTTCATGTTCTGCATCCTACTTCGCCCATCTTATGTTTGCTCTTATTATATTCTTGGAAAACGTGTTTAACAAGTTTGTTCTGTTACATGATACATCCTCATCCCAGGCTACCTCCAAGCTTGATGTGCTATACTCACCATCTGTTTTTCTTCTCCTTGACTTTCTTAATGCATTTTCCCATTTAGGCCTTTGTTTATCTGCTTGTAAACTAGATAGGAATCTCTGGCCCATCAGCTTCCCTTTTTGCTGTCTGTCTTCCTCCCATGCTGCAACAAGGCCTTTAAAAGGTCAACGAAGGATTTTCAGACACTTGTTACAGCACTGTGCTACTAGGATAACTTCCCTAAAAAATATCCCTCCCTCACTTTGGAGTGAAGACTTTAAATATACCAATGGAAGCATTTTAAAAAACCCAATTGCAGTGGATAGAACTGTATGTAAGTGAAGTCATGAATTTGTATGTATTTCAGAGGAAGGAACTGGCAAAACCACCTCTGAGTATTCCTTGCCTAAGAAACCCTATAAAATTCATGGGATTGCCATAAGTCAACAGGATACTTGAAGGCATACACGCATTAGCAAATGGTCTGCTCAACCACATCAGGGGCTGCATGCCTACAATTAAGCTGGTCTTCTCTGGAATCAATTTACCACTTAAAAAAAAAAAGTTTCCATACATCGTGCTGATTTAGAGAATGTGTTTACTTTAGTAAGCAAAAGGCCTTCTGATTTAGTTCTGAGTTCAATGGGTTTATTCCAGGTTGCCCTCAAAGATTGTATTTACCTAACTTAGAAGTGGAGAAAGAGTGGCCTGTGGGCCTCTCATGTAGCCCCCAAGGTCATTTTTGGGGCCCTGGAGTTCTCCAGCACCCCCAGGTGTTTTACATACTTTACTGTTTTATTCCCATTTTCCAACCAATTAGTAAAAAAGGGCCTAAACAGACTGCCAAAAATAATCCAGCTTGAGACCACTTTAACTGGAATCATGGGAACTGTAGGTTATTGTGGCACCAGAGCTCTGACAGAGAAGGCTCAATGTCTCAGAAAAAAACACAATTCCCATGATTCCCTAGCACTGAGCCAGGACAGTTAAAGTGGTCTCCAGCTGGATTATTTTTGGCAGTCTGTATAGGCCCAAAGTCAAGTTTCCTAGACGGAAAAAAAGACACTGTTGTGCATAAAGCAGCCTAGCCTCTTCCAGGAAAAACTAGTCTTCAGGATCATTAGGGAATGGAAAGGATCCACTTAGTGAAACATTTTGCCAAAGGTAAAATGAAATCATGGTAAACACAGCACAATAAAATAAATTTATTGTGGCACCAGAGCTCTCTGACAGAGAAGGCTCAATGTCTCAGAAAAAAAATACAATTCCCATGACTCCCTAGCACTGAGTCAGGGCAGTGCCTCAATTTAATGTGCACTATTTCTGGCAGTCTGCTTAGGCCTTTACTGATACTGATTCAACTAAGTCTGGCAAACAAACATGGAAGCTATTAAATCTTGTTCTGCCAATAAGAAAGTAATGAATGCCTATGCTTAGGAGAAAGAACTAGTTTAACTTTAATATTACAGCAGTCCTTATATCCATTACCGTTAATGGTTCATTTGTCTATTTTAGTAATTCTAATCTAAATTCTTCAGTGTTACTGAACTGTTCAGTGGTATGTGTGGATTTAATAGGAGACTGGTAAGTCAAGATACATCTTCACTTAACAGGGCAGCATGACATTTTTAGCATTACTAAAGCATTTAGAATTATTTCATCTTTTAATATATCCATATATCTATCCTAGGAAAACCAGATTCCACCAACTTGACTTGCACAGTCTAATATTTGGAGGTAGCCCAACCTTTCATGAAGGACCAAATGCTATTTACTATACAGATTGAACTGGACAGCTATTTTGGAGACACAGTGCAACTAGCCTACTTGTGTGACTGTTTTTCTTGGTTATGCATATATGGGAGTGAAACAGCATCAATCTGCTCTGTCCATGAACTCATTGGCCTTTGATGTGAATATTAACACATATTCTTTTTAGTACATACTGTGCTCTCCCTATGTATATCCATAATACACATTTTAATCACTGATGGTAATATCCTTGAGATGAACAATGAGTTCTTCTTTAGTGCCATGTTAAATCAATTCAAACCTGCATTTCAATGTGGCTTAGTATAGTAAATTGAAATGTGTATCTGGGATCTGGAAATAGACAAGGTATGAACACCAACAAGGCCATCCTTCCTCCTGAGATACACCCCTCAAAGCTAGACTCAATCAAATATTGTGCATAGAACTACTGGGCCACAATAACTTTCTTTTTTATAAGGAGACAACAAACTTTCTTAAGCCAGTGAATATCTACTCAGGATTTGAACTCAACTGACAAAAAAGCCGCCTGGATTAAAAATGGATACACACACACACACACATTTGGGGAAGTGGGGTTACAATTCCAGTTAACCAGGGGCATCTTGTTTTTAAAAAAGGAGACAACAAACTCTCTTAAGCCTGTGAAAATCTACTTGGGATTTGAACTCAACTGATTAAACAAGCAGCTTGTTAACCATTCCACTTAGGATGCATCTGCACTGGCGAAATAAACCGTTTTGAGCCCACTTTAAAGTCACCTTGGCTTCATGGTATGGAATTCTGAGAATTGTAGTTTGTTTTAGCATGGAATATTATTATTTAATATTTTAACATAGAATATTAGTGCCAAACCTTTTATTTTAACATGGAATATTCAATTTTAACATAGAATATTAGTGCTAAACTTTTATGATTTAATATTCTTAATTCTTATTTAATATGGCTAGCCAGATTTTTTTTTTTTTGCAGCTATAAGGGTTACCAAACCTATTTGCTTGTGTCAAAATTGCCAGACCCTTAAACCAAATACAAAATTTAACAAACTCTGTTCTTGTTGTGTGCCTTCAAGTGGTTTCAAAGTTATGGCGACCCTAAGATGAATTTATCATGAGGCTTTCTTGGCAAGATTTGGTCAGAGGTGATTTGCCATTGCCTTCCTCTGAGGCTGAGTGTGACTCACTTAAGGTCATCCAGTGGGTTTTGATGAACCCTCGTCTCCAGGGTCAAAGTCCAATACCTAAACCACTACACCAGGGGTAGGCAACCTAAGGCCCGGGGGCCGGATGCGTCCCCCCCGAGGCCTTTGGACCGGCCCCAGGCTGGTCCTGCCACCACCGCCCACCAGGGTGATATTATTGTTGTTACTACTTGTCCTTGTGGTTTTCTTGGCAAAATCTCCACAGGGGTTTTGCCATGGCTTTTCTGGAGATGAGAGAGTGTGCATGCATATTTTTTTTTTAATTTTTTAAATGTTTTTAAATGTATTTATTTATTTATGGTGCTTCGGCTCCCCAATTGTCTGAGGGACAGCAACCCGGCCCCCGGCTCAAAAAGGTTGCCTACCCCTGCACTACACCATGCTGGCTCTCTTGATAAACTTTAGTCGATCAACAAAATATATGCTAACACCTCAAACTCTTCTGTTTGGTACACCTTTCCTCAGAAAGCTGCCTTCTCACTACAACAGGAAGCCTGTACAGCCAGAGATTCTATGGTGTTATCCAGAGGTAGGCAACCTTTCCCCTTTAAGGGCCGAGGGACTTCAGCTCCCAGAATCCCAGGAGCTATTGGCCAACATGGCTGAGGCTTCTGGGAGCTGAAGTCCCTCGGCCCTTAAAGGGAAAAGGTTGCCTGCCCCTGGTGTTATCAATAACTGTAATTTAGATATAAAAGCCAGCGTGGTGTAGTGGTCTGAGCATTGGACTATGACTCTGGAGACCAGGGTTCGAATCCCAGTTTAGTTCTGTAGACCCACTGGGTTACCCTGGGAAAGTCACACTGTCTCAGCCTCAGAGGATGGCAATGGCAAAACCCCTCTGAAGAAATTTGCCAAGAAAAGCTGATAGGTTCACCTTAGGATCGCCATAAGTCGGAAAAGACTTGAAGGCACACAGATAGCCCAGAAAACCTGAAGTGCCTTATTTTCCTGCGTATAAGACTACTTTTAACCTGCAAAATCTGTGGTTAAAGTGGGGGGGGTCGTCTTATACGCCGGGTCTAAGGATAAGAAGGATAGAGGTGCTAAAACTCTATATTTTGACTGGAAAAATGGGGGGTCGTCTTATACGCCGGGTCGTCTTATACGCCGGAAAATATGGTATTTCTTGGGATAACAGCAGAATCATATGCGAATCACACTCCACATTAAATAAAGAATTCAATATTGCTCCCAGGTTCTGAAGCATGTTGAGTAGGGTCCAAAGCACACTACAGAAATAATCCAGTTTGAGACTGCTTTAACTGCCCTGGCTCAATGCTAGGGAATTCTGGGAACTGGAATTGAATGAGTCATTGAGCCTTTTCTGTCAGAGAGCTCTGGTGCCACAATAAACTACAATTTATTTCCTAGTGCTGAGCCAGGGCAGTTAAAGTGCTCTTGGACTGGATTATCAGTATGATTTGGACCTGGGAGAAACTATTTGAACCCAACACCTCACCACAGGTTAGAACAGAAATAACCCTAGGGAGCCAACCCACCTTCAATGTCTTCAGGAGGTACCTTGTTTGGATCAGAACAGTTTCTTACAAACAGCAGCATAAATGTATGCATGCTTTCAGCAGTGCCTCCCATTGTGGCAGGGCATGGATCCACCAAGATGGCAGCCATATGGCGGTCCAAAGGCAAGCCTCACAGAGGTGAGTGGGCCTTAATCCCAAACAAGAGTGCATAACCTTGCACCCTGACTCTATTTCCTGTACAAAAATCAATTTAAATGTACATATCATGGTCATGAAAGCATGCATGCCTCAGAGGGCACCATCTTAGAAGAGGCATTCTCTGGACCAAGGGAGGAGGAGGAGGAAGAGGAGGAGGAAGGCGTCTTCTAAGATGGCTGCCACAAATAGGCTTGCATCAAAAATATATAT